GTTGTAAGAAGTCAATACATTCGTTGTCACGAAGTCCACTTATAACCTCGCGACAGTCACCGCTGACCATGGAAATCTACACTTGCCCAATCGCAATGTTTGACAAATTGATCATCAATCGCAGTATCGGATGTATCGCACTTTAGTTATACCACCGTCTACCTAAGGCCTATATCTTCCTCGAATTCTTCAAAGTCGCCTCTTACGATACGCACGGGACGAATATGGATGTGATATATTGGACCTTATTGAAGATAAATTTCATATTTGATAAGGAGCAGGTTCAAAATTATGTTGAACTTTTATTATTTGTTAATTTGTTTATTCAACTTTAAAACATAACTAAAACGCAAATTTATATCCCATACCGATAAGGGACTTATAGGCCCTATGTTTATAGGCGTTGTTTTTCTTTTAGTACAATGTTACTTTAAAAAAAATTATTTGTTGATTGATATACCTTGAACATTTTTGTGGGTTAAAGCGTATACATTGTCTCCTAAATAAAATACTAATTCTGTGGACCCTAGTATCTGGAAATACAAGCTTATGTTTGTTCCTATTGTTTAAAGTGTTAACATCTTTATTCTTATCAAAACTGTTCATGTATATGTGTACATATATTACATTTTCATAAATTTATCGTTTTGCTAAAATTAGTACGTTAATTTATTTAAATTTTTTCCCGAGGCCTAATTTAAGTTATACATTGCTTGTACGACCCTATTTTGCAAAACAAATATGGTTTCAAAGACAGTTGCGTTAACCCATAGCAAACAACCATGACAAATTACGCTATGAAATTAAATTAAATAAACTAATCTAGGTGTTTCAACGTTGGTCTGACATCTTGTCGTTCTTACAGCATATGCTGCAAAACTAAGTCTGCCTGCTAATTAAGATATATGGAGGCCCCATTGAGAGCTTCGCGTCTGTATTAATACCAAGAAAAACAATGGTATCCACAAGACTCAACTCCTCCCCACTTAGGAGAACATTAGTATTTGAATAATGTTTAATATTAAGTATTATAAAAATTTAAGTACTGATAGTTGGCGTTGAACCATTGTACTAATTTTGATAGAGAAATATTTACATAGCCATAATTAAATGACTACCGTTTGATTGTAGATACTTGTGTAACATGTCGTAAAAGGTGACTATATTGGGTTTGTAATTGTGTAGAGGATGGAATAGTAACCTATCATTTTTTTCTCAATTTTCCATGTTAACTCATATTTTGTGGTGTGGTGTTAGTGAACTTATTTGTTACACAGATGGTTATCATAATTGCGATTTATGAGAGGGTTTTCGCTTTATTGAGTATGTAAAAACATAATACAATGTCATAGTGTCGGCCCCACACTAGATGGAGTGACGACCTGGAGACATGCAGGAAGTCGACAGTAGCAGGTGGCCCAGGACCGTGCTTTGTGGCGTACCTTGGGGGAAGTCTGTGTTCAGCAGAGGACTTGTGAAGGGCTGTAATGAATGAACGAATTAATAAAAAATGATGACCACTTTGTTATTGCATTTTTACAATTTTTTTTAATTCTTCTTATTTTAGGAATATACGTAGTTTGGTTTATCCATTTATCGTCTAATTACGAGTAATATAAAGTATACACAGAATGCATTTAAAACAAATATTTCACCTCATTCCTACGTGGTGCCGCCCTGGTTGCAGAAAAATTGGATGCCCTCATTGACGAATATATCGCATGACGTACATACAAAAATTACACAGTCGAATTGTAAACTTTTATTTTCTTTTTTTTAATGGGCGTACTAAAAATAAATGTCAAGAAATGCTTTTATGTAGCTAGTGTGGACGAAACTGTATCTATTTTAGTATAAAAATGTAAAATGTTTCGTCCACAATAGCTACTGAATTTGATTTAGTAATTCTTTCTGTGTACACTGAAAATCACCTTTAAGTATTTCCATAACGTAATAATATACAATATTATTTATAATAGGATGTTTAAAAACTAAATTATATTATATTCCTACACTAAGAACCTATCCTAACAACGCTGGTCTTAATAAAATAATATCAACCAGAGGACTTGCCAGTGCAGAGAAAAATGTGTGTGATTTACTTACATCATTGTATAATACGAATCCGATAATTATTTATTTCATTTCATCCTAATGATCCAGATCAGGATACTAGGATAAAGTTATTATTGTATTATCAATTTTTAAATTTCGAGTATCTAAAAATTTATTGAGTGACCTACGTAAAGAGAATTCATGACCAAATTTCGTCCCGTAGGTATAGTATTTAATCTTACGTCTGTCTTACTAACTAAATGTTTTAATCCATATTAGTCAACTGTTAACTATTGAACTTTCTAGTTCTTCACGACAGTTAGAAGTACAGTTAAATTATCATCACTTATCAAGAAAAATGTACTAATCCACATACAAAATATCTTGAATGCTTATACTCTGAGACGTCAGGTTTACTGTAGAAAAGAAAACTATAAACATAAATTAAAAAAAAAACACATTATCTAATTATACATTTTCCCTATATAACTATTTTATAACCGAGTTTACTTGCAACTATCAAATGGAAAATAATATCACCGCACAGAGCTGTAAATTTTTCCACCATAAATCAGTAACGGTGGACGTGAAGACACGATTACGATAAGACCATTAAGTCAAATTTATGTAACTATTACATTATCCTTCGAGTTTTCTTTTTTTACAACTAAGGGTTGCTAAATTAGCTTCGCTTATAGTAAACTTCTGCCCTCGATTAAGGATCAAAATTGAAAGACGTCGTCACCTCTGAGGACGAAAATGGAAAGCCTCCTACCAATTAAGAGCCTTCTGTTCTCGGCACTCGCCAATACAAGCAACATTATGCCGTTATTTACGTTGATATTATGTGTGGACGTGGTTTTTGTCGGCCAAGTCAACCAATTCCTATTGTAGCCTTCATATAGCGGCAGCATCAACCACACCACAGCTAGTCTTACTAAGAGGTAGGACTCCTTTCGTGAATGGAAGTACGTTTGCGTGGGTACCTCCCTCTTACGTACTTCTGCCTGCAAACAGCAGTGCTGTGTTCCAGCCTGAAGGTGTAGAGTTGGAGCTGTAAGTTACTCAGATGTGACAACGCATCTGAAGCCTTCATTGTCTGAAGTCGGTTGTAGGTGTCGGATGGGGTGAAAAAGCTCCTTGCCATCAGGTGGACTGTTAGCTCATTTTTCACTTCAGTATAATATAATTTTTTTTTTTATAGAATAGGGTGACAAACGAGCACACAGTCCACCTGATGGTAAGTGGTTGCTGCGGCCCATAGACATCTACATCTATCTTCCATTACAAATCAAAATGCAGATGCGTTGTCACCCGTGAGGACTGAGATGGAATGCCTCATTTCCAGTAAAAAGGGTCTCCGGTTCTCTACACTCACCATACGAAATACAGCAGCATTAAGCTACTATTTCACGCTGGTATTCTGTGAGAGCGTGGTCCTTCCCCGGTCGAGCCGACCCATTCGTGCTACAACTATACTACTAATATAATTGCAGTAGACACCTTATAACTTTGCATAAAAACATTGTAAAAATTCCCTGGCTGCCCTGAATTATTCAATTAGTTTAGTCTTATTAGTTTACTGTGTTTTCAAGCCATTTCGGGCGATATTTCTAATTTAAATTAAAAATTATTGTTTTTGAGAAACGTAATATATCAAAATTTTTCGTCTATATTAAAATCTTACAAATCTCTTCCGTTTTTGCTCCTATCAGGTCCACCTTACTCCACAACCGCCGTATCAGCCAAAATCTGCAACAATAAACGTAGAAATTAGCAAAATTTTAAGAAAGTTAGATACCGAGGTCCACCTTACTCCACAACCGCCGTATCAGCCAAAATCTGCAACAATAAACGTAGAAATTAGCAAAATTTTAAGAAAGTTAGATACCGAGGTATAGTGGTCAGAACAAATTTTCATACAATTACACCTTATAACTTTGCATAAAAACATTGTAAAAATTCCCTGGCTGCCCTGAATTATTTAATTAGTTTAGTCTTATTAGTTTACTGTGTTTTCAAGCCATTTCGGGCGATATTTCTAATTTAAATTAAAAATTATTGTTTTTGAGAAACGTAATATATCAAAATTTTTCGTCTATATTAAAATCTTACAAATCTCTTCCGTTTTTGCTCCTATCAGGTCCACCTTACTCCACAACCGCCGTATCAGCCAAAATCTGCAACAATAAACGTAGAAATTAGCAAAATTTTAAGAAAGTTAGATACCGAGGTATAGTGGTCAGAACAAATTTTCATACAATTACACCTTATAACTTTGCATAAAAACATTGTAAAAATTCCCTGGCTGCCCTGAATTATTTAATTAGTTTAGTCTTATTAGTTTACTGTGTTTTCAAGCCATTTCGGGCGATATTTCTAATTTAAATTAAAAATTATTGTTTTTGAGAAACGTAATATATCAAAATTTTTCGTCTATATTAAAATCTTACAAATCTCTTCCGTTTTTGCTCCTATCAGGTCCACCTTACTCCACAACCGCCGTATCAGCCAAAATCTGCAACAATAAACGTAGAAATTAGCAAAATTTTAAGAAAGTTAGATACCGAGGTATAGTGGTCAGAACAAATTTTCATACAATTACACCTTATAACTTTGCATAAAAACATTGTAAAAATTCCCTGGCTGCCCTGAATTATTTAATTAGTTTAGTCTTATTAGTTTACTGTGTTTTCAAGCCATTTCGGGCGATATTTCTAATTTAAATTAAAAATTATTGTTTTTGAGAAACGTAATATATCGGGGTTTTTCGTCTATATTAAAATCTTACAAAACTCTTCCGTTTTTGCTCCTATCAGGTCCAAATCTGCAACAATAAACGTAGAAATTAGCAAAATTTCGCCCTCCCACCCACCCTGTTTTCATTACTAAGGTAGATTCATATATATAAATTTACAAAAGTCTCTTATTTACAAAAAATTAAAATGAGTTCAGTGCCAGGTAACGTAAATAGGTCCGAAGAGCAGCGGAAACGTCCCACTTTACAGAATATTGCAACCAAAGAGAAACCAAAAGAAATACACACTCGGAAATCCGATGTACTAGAAATAGCTGTAACAGCGATGTCTAAGGCCAATACATTATATCAGGACGCTAAGTTGCAGCTAGAGCAGTCTGGAAACTTAAAGACTTCCATAAAAGAGACGGTGGTAAATATCCTTTCTGAACTCTTTGGAATCGTATTACAGTTAAACGAAGAAAGGCAGACTCTACTCCTACAATTGGAGAAAGCTCGTATACAACTTAAAGACGATCTACTTAGGCAAGAAAAACAGTATGTAGAGAGCCTTAGAGCACTAATGGATCAGGGTAGTATAGGAGATATTCAGTCTGCTCTCACCGAAACAGTGAGTGATATGAGAACCCTAACGGACTCATTGAAGCACACGATGGGCAATGACACCTTATTGGATAAACATACTTTTATGGGCAAATCGGAGGATACCAGAAGGGAACTGATGGAAATAAAAGAAGAATTATCATCCCTAAAAGACCAAATGGGTGGACTTCGAGAGTCTTTGGTTATAAGCGAAACAAATGAACCCACATATGCCAGCATAGCTGGTCGACTTAAGGCCAAAATAAACAGTAAAATGATGGCTCCAATGCACTCAGTTCTGGTATCGTCTGAAGAAGAACAAGACACTAGCGGAGATATAATAAATAAAATTAGAACAGCAATTGACGCTAAAATCACTGGGTTGAGAGTGGATAAACTACGGAAGGCCAGGGATCAAAAGGTAATAGTGGGATGCCAGACACATGACGAAGTTCAAAAAATTGCGGAAAGAATCAAAAGAGCATCCTCAAAATTGCTAGTACAAGAAGTCGAGAATAAAGACCCTCTGATAATTATGAGAGATGTTCTATCTTTAAATAAAGACGAAGATATTCTAGCAGCTCTGAAAAACCAGAATAAGCAACTCCTATCCGATATACCAGATGATCAATACAGAGCAGCAATTAAATATCGGAAAAAAAGCTAGGAATCCGCATATTAATCATGTTGTAATTCAAGTATCCCCAAAAAGTGTGGCAGAGACTGACAACAGTGGAAAAAGTCCATATTGACTTGCAACGTGTAATAGTAAGAGACCAATCACCGTTGGTACAGTGTACGCGGTGTCTGGGGTACGGTCACGGAAAGAAATTCTGTAAAGAGACACAGGATTTATGCAGCCATTGTGCCGGACCCCATGTTAAGGACGACTGTCCATTATGGGCAGTAAAAGAACCACCGACATGTCGCAATTGTTTGCACGCAAAAAGCGAAAGGGCAGACCACAATGCATTTGACGACAGTTGCCCTATCCGAAGGAAATGGGACGCGATCGCGAGATCGAGTGTAGCGTATTGCTGAAATCGATACAACGAATTATGGGACCACCAGTGATGAAGAATCATTAAGAAATCCACAGGACTACCGTATTATACAAGCAAATCTCCAGAGGAAGAAATTAGCAACTAAAGAGTTAATGATAGAAGCAGAACAAAGAAAAATTAATATCGCTTTGGTACAGGAACCATATATTGGAACATTAGGGGAACTTAAACAAGAAAAAGGGACAAAAGTAATTCAGTGTACAAGAAACAGAACTAAACCGGTAAAGGCAGCAGTAATAGTTTTTGATCAAAATATTAATGTCATAGAGGATCCAACACTCGTAACGGAGAATATAGCAGTGGCTCAATTAAAAACGAATAAGTGGGAATTAGGAGTCATATCGGTCTATTTTGAGGACAGTTTACCTATCGAACCCTATCTCGCACAACTGAAAACTATCATTGAAAAACTAAAAACAAAATACGTACTAATAGGAGGTGATTTCAATGCATGGAGTACGTGGTGGGGAAGTGCTAGGGAAGATCATAGGGGAGAGGAATTGGCAGGAATGATAGAGGATACAGGTATGCACATATTAAATGAAGGAAATGAACCCACATTTGATACTATTAGGGGTGGGAATATCTATCAGAGTATAGTAGACGTAACAATCAGTAGCGAAAATTTATTAAGTAAAGTGAAGGATTGGAGAGTAAATAAAGCTATTATAAGTTCTGACCACAACTGTATAACATTTAAACTAGCATTGCTAAAACCTACGGAAAATAATAATTTTAAAAGTACTAGAATATATAATACTAAAAGGGCGAAATGGACAGATTTTAAAAATAAACTATGTGAAACACTTAAAATGAAAAATATTAGTGAAGAAGAGATAACAGAACTAAAATCAAAGGAAAAACTAAAAACTACAATTAATACATATATAGAATGTGTTAAGGAAGCAAGTGATTCGAATATCCCAAAAATTAAAACTAGAAATAAAATTACTATACCGTGGTGGACAGAAGAGCTTAATAAGTTAAAAAAAGAAATGACAGTGAAGAAAAGAAGAATATCGTATGCTGCCTCTCGCCGTCGGCGCTACGTAGTAGAACAATATTTGGAGATAAAAAATAAATATGAAGAAGAAGTAGTACAAGCACAAATCAACAGTTGGAAAAAGTTTTGCGGTAAGCAGGATAGGGAAAGTCTATGGGACGGGATCTATAGAGTAATCAGGAAAACATCAAAAAGACACGAGGACATACTGTTAATTAGGGAAGGTAAATCGTTGGATGCAGAGGAATCAGTGAAACATATGGCGGAGACATTTTTCCTCGATGACAATTTGGAAAACGAAATACCAGAACAATATCATACACGAATGAAAGCTAACAGAATGTGCACTCAAACTACAGATGATATTTGGGATGTTCCATTTACAGCAACCGAATTACAATTTGCTACCAGCAGCTTCCATCCAAGGAAGGCGCCAGGTTCAGATGGCCTCACAGCGGACATCTGTGCCGCGGCGATAAACGTTGATAAGCAGATATTCTTAGCCTTGTTGAACAAGTGCTTAGAATTATCATACTTTCCGGATCCATGGAAGGAAGCTACTGTGTTAGCACTTAGAAAACCGGGAAAAACGGATTACTCTCTCGCGAAATCATATAGGCCGATAGGGCTCCTCTCTGTCATGGGTAAGATCCTAGAAAAGATGATGGTGAGAAGACTAAAATATTACATTTTGCCAAAATTAAATCCCCGTCAGTATGGGTTCGTCCCACAGCGCTGTACGGAGGACTCCCTCTATGACTTGATATTACACATCAAGAACAATCTGAGAAATAAGGAAATAAGTATTGTAATATCCTTAGACATAGAGGGGGCCTTCGACAGCGCGTGGTGGCCTGCTATTAAAAATAGACTGATGGAGATAAAGTGTCCTGTGAATCTACGTAGATTAGTAAATAGTTATTTTACAGATAGGAAAGTTACAGTTAGATATGCGAACGAAGAATTTACAAAAAATAATACAAAAGGGTGCATTCAAGGCTCGATTGGTGGTCCCATATTTTGGAATTTGCTATTGGATCCGTTGCTAAATGAACTAGAAGAGCGTGGAGTGTATTGCCAAGCCTTCGCCGACGATATCGTTCTGATCTTCTCAGGTCACGTGACAAGCGATATTAAAATAAATGTAGATGAAACTCTTTCACACATATATGAATGGGGATCAAAAAATAAATTAAAATTTGCCCCACAAAAAACTTATGGTATGATAGTAACAAATAAATTGAAGTATGAAACCCCGCAATTGTTCATGGGAGGTAAAGAAATAAAACTAGTAGATGAGATAAAAATATTAGGCCTAATCATCGATAAAAAATTGAAATTTAATAGTCATGTTTCCTATATTTGTCAAAAATCCATAAATATTTATAAATTACTGGCTCGTGCAGCAAAAATTTCATGGGGGCTTAAACCCGAGGTGATCAGAACGATTTACGTATCAGTTATTGAACCAGTTATAATGTATGCCGCAAGCGTTTGGGCACCAGCTGCCCACAAAATAGCAATCAAAAACCAGCTAAACGCAGTGCAGAGGGGATTTGCACAAAAAAATTTGTAAATCATATCGCACGGTCTCACTAAACGCAGCATTGATACTCTCAGGACTACTACCTTTAGATTTAAGGTTACGCGAAGCTGCATATTTGTATGAAGCAAAACGCGGTAAACCAGATGCTAACCTACTTAAAGACAGAGAGATCGAAGGAAAAGTAAGTTTTTTAGAAATGATGCATCCAGCCTGCGAAGAAGAAATTGACTTTGAAATAATAGAGAATACAACATCAGAAAAATTAGAGGAACCACATACAAACAGCATACAAATATTCACCGATGGAAGTAAAATTGAGGGCAAGGTTGGAGCTGCAATCTCTATTTGGAGAAATAAACAAGAAATAGATAATAAAAAAATTCAAATTAGATTCATTCTGCACTGTCTTTCAGGCTGAACTGTACGCAATGCATCAAGCTATTCAAAAAGCAAAGAATTACCAAAGTACTTACATATACAGTGATTCAAGATCTGCACTGGAACTTGTCAAAAATCAATCAGCATATCAACCGTTGGCTTTCGAAATTAGGCGAGATATCGCTAAATTAAGAAGTCAAAACAGGAGGATAGGGCTGTATTGGGTTAAAGCACATGTAGGTATTCCCGGAAATGAACGCGCAGATGAACTCGCAAAGGAAGCAGCTTTAAAATTAAAAACAAAATTAAATTACGCAAAATGTCCGATTTCGTTCATAAAGAACCAAATTAGACATAAAACAATTAAGGAATGGCATAAGAGATATTTAACAGAAGAAAAAGCCGAAATTACAAAAGTATTTTTTCCAGACGTAGAAGCAGCATATCGCATCCTAAAACAAATTAATTTAACGCCAATATTAGTACAAGTTTTCACCGGTCATGGAGGCTTTGCAGATTATTTGTTCCGTTTTAAAATAAAATCTAGACCAGACTGTACGTGTGATAACAACCAACCCCAATCTTCTCTGCACATAATTATAGACTGCCCTCAATTTTGCAAAAATAGAGCAGACGTGGAACTGCAGATAGGATTAAAATTGACAAAAGAAAATATACATAACATAATGGAAGACAAACGCGGCAGAAACATTTTCACAAAATATTGTACAACCGTAGCAAATAAAATCATAAAAACTAATAAAAGTACCTAAACAAGAACAAGATAAAATTAATTTAGAATATAGAATAAGATACATCAAACAAAAAGTACAATAAAAAAAAAACCTTGGTAAAAAAAGGACAAAAAAAAAAAAAAAACAAGAGAGTAAGAAAACTATATAATTAGACATATGAGTACATATGTCCTAATATTATATAAAATAAGTATGCAACATAATAAGAAAAAAAAACAAGAGAATTTAATTAGAAATAGTGTAGAATAGTAAAAAAAAAAAAAAAAAAAAAAGAATTAATAAAATAAGAATTAACCACATTTGTAATCGATAAAAAAGGAAAAGTAACAACAAAAATATACTTAAACAAAAAATCAAAGTACCGAAAAGCACCTGATATTGAAAAAACAAAAAACGTAGTTCATAGAACACAGAAAAAAAAAGAAAAAAAAAGAAGAGAAAGAAAAAAAAGCTATATAAAAATAATGAAAAATTAAAATAAACATAAATATATAAAAAAGCAATCAGCTACATAAGGTCTCCGATCAACATGTCGGAGGATAATAGTATAAAAAAGAAAAAAAAAAAAAAAAAATATAATTGCAGTATGGCTCTACCACGTTAGTTAACTAGTTAAGTTGTAAAATCCAATATAGTAGGGTTGTACTAGAGCAATATATTTGTGAAGCCTAGAGTATGAATATCTGTGTTTCGTATAATGAATGTGTAGAACTGGTGACTCTTATGACTGGAAATAAGGAATTTTATCTTAGTCCTCATGGGTGACAACGCATCTTCATTTGATTCTTAACTAAAGATAGATATAGGTGCCTATGAGCCACAGCATCCCTTTGCCATTAGGTGGACTGTGTGCTCGTTTGTCACCCTATCCTCTAAAAAATATCACTTATCATAACCAAAATACATACTAATACCATGCGAACAAGTCGCGGACGCATTCAGTCTAAAATATTATCAGTACTTACGTAAACTCCTAAATTTGTTAGTAAATCATTTGTTCATTAAATATTTAGAACGTAAATTAGTAATCGAGGGCAGTATTTTATGATTCATGTTTGTATGTAGGTCAAAAGGGATGCTGTGTCGCTGACCGTAGATAAGAAAGCGAAGCTTGCTCGTAATTTATGAATATTAATGTCCATTTAGGAACAATTTTTAATGGTGGTTTATATACAAATGTTTTCAGATAGATATAGTTATTATTTATGTTACGATTCACTTAAATTAACTTCGTATTGTTACCTGCTCAAGTCGAGGATACACTAGCGCCATCTAGTGTCAGGAACGAGAGCGAGGGGAGCATTGAGAAAATGACATCACAAATCACTCAACCGACAGCGCCATCCGAAGAACTAAGTTTCTAGAAAATCTACACTCGCACACTCGTCCCTTTGCGCGCATTTACTTGAATATTCCGGATGCTTCTTTGCTAATTTATATAAATAGGCGCTGCAAGATACGATCGAGGCAGTGTTGATTTGGCGAGACAAGCGAAGCTTCGGAGCGGAATAAAGCGAATTAGTGTGTTTAATTATTAGTGTTTTAAGTTTTAATTTGTGTAAAGTAAATTAAAGTGTTAATTTAGGTAATTTTATCGGCAATTTTTATTGTCACGAACCTCAAGCTCGTAACAATTGGTGTCAGAAGTGGGATAAAATCATGCCGATTTTACCAAAGGAGGAATCGGAGGGTGTCCGTACCCGAAGTCAACGCCAGCAGGAGACGGACCAGAGGAGATTTGGTGGTGCAACGCCGCAGACGTCGGAAGGCCAGCCACCGGCTGCAGGCGCGTCGGTAGCTCCTACATCTGCAGCACCTGACTTAGGTGCTCTGATGGTGATGCTGCAGGAGCAGGCTCGCCGACAGGAGGAACAGGTCCGTCAGTTGAAAGAGAAGCTGCAGAGCGGACAGGAGGAACAGGTCCGTCAGTTGAAAGAACAGCTGCAGAGCGGACAAGAGGAACAGGCCCGCCGACAGGAGGAACAGATGCTCCTCATGAAGGACCTTCACGCTACTTTGGGGAAGGAGATAAAGGAGGTGAAGGATAGGGTTGCTCAGCATGACAACCGCCTGTGGGAAGCTGAAACCCAAATCGCGAAAGCTGAAAGCCGAATCGAGAAAGCTGAAACCCGAATCGACCAAGTAAACAATCGGGTTGACAACGTAATGGCTGACATGAAGAAATCACTGGACGAACTCAAACTTAGAGAAGGAGCTACAGCTCCCGTAGTAGCTACAACACCTTCGCTACGTGGGTTCAAGGTGCCACCGTTCGACGGTACCTCTTCCTGGTCAGCCTACAAAATCCAGTTCGAAGCTGTTATGAAGGCGAACGGCTGGAATAAAAATCAGGCCATGACTGCTCTCACACTAGGCCTGCGTGACCAGGCCTTAACAGTTCTGGAAGCTCTCGGTGAGGAAGTGACTTATGAGCAACTCCTTGAGGCATTGGAGGCGAGATATGGCGACGCTCACCTGGAACACGTCTTTCGTGCGCAGCTTAAAGATCGTGTGCAGCGCATCAACGAAAACCTGCAGCAGTAGGCTCTAGAAGTGGAGAGGCTGGTGCGAAAAGCATACCAGTCTGTACCTGCGCTCATTGAACGGAACCTGGTGCAGACATTCATCGACGGCATCCGCGACCTGGAAGTCAGAGCTGCTGTGAGGCTCGGGCACCACGAGACGCTTAAGGACGCCTTGGCCCATGCACTGGAAGTGGAAGCCGTGGGGCAGGATCATCGTTCCCATCGCGTCAGGGAGGTTGCAGCAGCTACAGTTCGCGACCGCAACAAAGGATACAGCCCAAGGTGCTATGGCTGTGGGGAAAGGGGCCATCTTCGGTCCAGCAGCCCTAAGCACACCCTAGGAAGGGAAGGTGAACGGTCTCAGAAAGGAAGTGCGGCTAACAGCACCGCCCAGCAGCAGCAGGAATACGACTTTACTATCAGACACTGCAGCGGGAAATCTCACGGCAACGCAGATGCATTGACAAGAAGACCTTGTCCTGAAGATTGCAACCATTGTAGTAGGCAAGAAAGTAAGGAAGTGGTATCCGTGAGGATGCTCAGGGCAGACCACCTCAGCAACGGGTGGAAGGACAGCCTACGACATGCACAGCAGGAAGATCCGGACATCAAGCCGATTCTGGGATGGATGAAGGCCCGTGCTACCAAGCCTAAGTGGAGGGACGTCTCAGCGATGAGTTCAACCACGAAAAGCTATTGGGCCCAATGGGACAGCTTGCTGATTCTGGATGGAGTCCTGTGCCGTAAATGGTACAATGGTCGAAGAGACAGCTGTCGGTTGCAAATGGTTGTCCCTAAAACTAAAGTGCCGAAAGTTCTACAGCTGTGCCATAATGGTCGTTCAAGAGTCCATCTGGGAGTTAAACGAACTCTACTGAAGGTCCGAGAACAGTTTTAATGGGTCCATTATCGTGACGATGTCGAGGATTGGTGTCGTACATGTACAAGTTGTGCGGCCGTGCGGGGACCTCAGACACGTAGTAGAGGAGCACCGAAATTGTACAATGTTGGTGCACCACGGGATATGACAGCCCTTGACATTGCGGAGACGTTACAGAAAGGCGCAAGAGGGACTCCTAAGATCGTCCATGTGGATCGCTTGGCGCGTTATTATGGGGCCGATAATGCTCGGGACGAGCATGTCTTAGGAGGGGTAGTGTTACGCGCTCAAGTCGACGATACACTAGCGCCATCTAGTGTCAGGAACGAGAGCGAGGGGAGCGTTGAGGAAATGACATCACAAATCACTCAACCGACAGCGCCATCCGAAGAACTAAGTTTCTAGAAAATCTACACTCGCACACTCGTCCCTTTGCGCGCATTCACTTGAATATTCCGGATGCTTCTTTGCTAATTTATATAAATAGGCGCTGCAAGATACGATCGAGGCAGTGTTGATTTGGCGAGACAAGCGAAGCTTCGGAGCGGAATAAAGCGAATTAGTGTGTTTAATTATTAGTGTTTTAAGTTTTAATTTGTGTAAAGTAAATTAAAGTGTTAATTTAGGTAATTTTATCGGCAATTTTTATTGTCACGAACCTCAAGCTCGTAACAGTATTTATGGTCAAGTTATTATATTAGTTGATATTTATAAGCATGTATAGATTATATGAACATAGATCGTAAAAACAAGGCTGAGGTCTTGAGGTTTAAATGAGGTAGAACAGCTACATTAATAGTATAGTTGTTGCACGAATAGGTTGGTTCGACTGAGAAATGACAAAGCTCTCACTAAAGCGTAAAATAGTAGCATAATGCTGCTGTGTTTCGTTTAGTGAGTGTAGACCAGAAACCCTTTTTATTGAAAAAAAAGCATTCCATCTTAGTCTTCGCGACTGACAACGCATCTATAGTTTGATTCGCAAACGAGGATAGATGTAGATGTCTATGGGCCACAGCAACTACTTACCATCAGTTTGAATGTGTACTCGATTGTCACCCTTATTATATAAAAAAAGGTTAGGTGGGTACAATTTTAAGAAAAAAAAGAATAATAAATGGAGCGCGGTGTGCATTTCAAGCGATGAAGTTTTTAAGTCTTAAGTGGCAAAGAGTCGGCCATATAGCGCATGGGTTTGGCCACTGATGTGGAAGAAGTGAGACTGTTCAAACATATTATGTGTTGGTATTAAGTCACAGCAATGTAAAGTGAAAAAAATATCTTCTGTATCTATACATATAATAAAAATGTAAATTGCAGATGTCTATACATTTTATATTTTTGTAACAAAATTGATTGAGGGGGTCTAAAAATAAGTAACTGAATACATTTCTATCATTTTTAGAATTGTCTGCGTCTGTTTGTTTGTTAACGTATCATAAATAAGGCACTGACTTATATAAAAAAAAAACTGTCAAAAAATTGTAAAGCATATCTTCGTTTTCAATTTAGTCTTCGTTTTATTAAAATCGGTTTATCTTATCAAAAGTTATGATTAATATTCTGAAGTATGGGTACGAAATATAAGTACGAATTTGTTCAATAGTGGCGTTGAGTGATCAAGGACATTTTTGTAATTAAATTCAATAGTGGCGTTGAATGATCAAGGACATTTTTGTAATTAAATAATGTAAAAGCGTGTTCTATAATGATATAATTATATCTAAACGCAGTAAACTAAAATAATAACGTAATAAATATTTATAAAAAGAAATAAATCCTAATATCTTAGTTTAAAAAGTACAATAGCTAACCAATGTCATCGATAGATGGTAGAATTTTATCGGCAATTTTTATTGTCACGAACCTCAAGCTCGTGACAGTATTTATGGTCAATTAAGTTGAAAAGCATGTATAGATTATATGAACATAGATCGAAAAAAGATATTAAATGAGGTAGAACAGCTACATTAATAGTATAGTTGTAGCACGAATAGGTTGGTCCGACTGTGTGATAAGTTATTAAATTTTAAGGGGTTTTTTTATTAACCGCCGAGTACCTACAACATGTTAAATCAAATTTTGAAAGAGCTATTAACAATTTTTATGGTTTCGGCAAGGATCATATCAATCATATAGAAGCTTGGCAGTAAACATATTATTACACTTCCCTTTTGCACTTTTACATTGTCGTGAAATTGAAAAATTACGTTACCCGATTTTCAATTTTTTCATATTAATCATACCCGTTCTTTTCTAAATATCATATATTTTTTTATTTTACTGTAATAATAAGAGCCGTGGTAGCTCAGTGGTTAACGCTCGCTGTAAATATAACAGAACGCGAGTATCCCGGCACCAATGAAATTGTTAATTGCAATTTTAAGTGCTGATTTACCACGTGCTCGGCGGTGAAGGAAAACATCGTGAGGAAACCTGCATGTCTGAGGAATAAGAAAAAAAAAATATTTCGAAGACATGTGAATTTCGTCAACACGCATTTGGTCAGCGCGGCGAACACTTTCTTGCCCTAAACCCTCTCAGAAATGAGGGGAGGCCTGAGCCCAGCGGTGGGATGTATATAGGCTGTAACTTTACTTTACTTTACTGTAATAATAAATGAATTACTATAATTTTATATAGATGGCGCTATAAGTATCTTCAAGCACCATAAAGTTTCATTATTAACGAGATATGAAGGACGCATAATATGTAAATAATTACTTTGCTTGCTGCTTTCAACGCAATGTTTGTATTGGACCAGCAAATAAATTTCTTTCTTTTATCCAATAACCGTTACAGCATTTCAAATTTAAATTCCACTGTCGAACACAGGCCTCCCAATTGATTGCCTCATATTTGGCATCATTGATTATAATAACTCAATGTTTGGCACAGTTTCCACGATCTATCACTCACGCTTTACCCGATTACGGAACCGAAGAAGCCGGTTATACAGCCAATATAACATGGTCCACGGCTGACTATATGTATTCAATGAAATGTATATATATAAAAGGATATCATTGTAGGCATTCAATATACTGAATATCTCATGCTTCCTGGAGCGAGGAAGAGTCCATAGTGCCGTTGTGACGCATTCGTTCGCTTTAGTTTAAAAATTTTATATAATTTAATTTATATTGGACATAAAAGGAACAGAATAAAATTCATTTTATTTATTTGCCGTAAACATTGAAGTAATATGTACTTACGTACTAGAACTATATCAAACAAAAAATGTGCGCTACTCTGTTTCCGCGCGGTTGTTTTTATCATAGAATAAATATTAGGTAAAATGTACCCGTAGTTAATAGTAGATTGTAAAATAGGTAAATTATATCGAGAACAATATTTAAATTTTGTCATTTATTTTGTATATTATATTTGCTTATTTAATATAATATGACATAATATTATATCACAATTACATTTTAATGATATTTTTATCCGAATATTTTTAAAAGGTATATAAGAAACAAATATAAAAAACATACTAAATGCATGTTTAACAAAACTTATTAACATAACATTTAAATTACAAATATATTTATTTAAATTAGAATAAAAGACGTTCATAAATGCTGGGCACGCGAGAGTTAAAAATGGACGAATTTATACCACTTAGACTTTGATGTGGAAACCTAAAAATAAAATAAAAGAATAATAAGCAGATTTAAACATGAAAAATTTTGCCAAATCATAATAACTTATATATGTTCTACAAAAAATGTTTAATAATAATATATTTGTCCTATACTTAAGTACCCACAGAAATGTCGCATCCGAACATATTAATTATATAATCTATATTCCATGACACTAGATGGCGTCTTAGGAATAATTTGTTTTAATATTGATACATAATACGTTTTTATTGATTAAGTATCTTATTAACCGATGAAAGTAATTCCTTGGTTTTTACTGACATTTCTTGAATTATTTGTGCAATATCTAAGTACACACGACGGCATATTTTTATCAAGAGATTTTTTTTAAATCAACACAACACTTGACAACTCTATATGCGCCTAGCGAGTGACTGATTAAAGTGCGGTGTATGCACCGCAATTGAGTGGAACAGATCAGTAGCTGAATGCAGTGTCGCCTCTAGTACGTAGTTCATAATAGCTCAATGGCCGTAAAGTTAGTTTTGCCATTTATCGGCAGATGTATATACTCTATTATATTTATACTCTTTATATTCCGAGTCATATATACTAGATAATTACACAGAGTGACTACCTAAACCGCTTGAAGTAAAAATCTAAAATTTGGGCTGTAGTTCTGCTACCTTTTATGACGTAGAAATCCGCTATGAAATAAATCATTTTGGAAAATTCGATCCCTAAGAGTGTGAAATAAGGGTGTTAAATAAGTTTGTTATTTTATTACAAAATTGTTTTACAGGGCGATTGACTCGATTCTTACTGTAAAAAATAAGTAAATACGTATTTTGCGATTTCAAAATAACCCGTTACGATACGTTATGCGCAGGGGCAGAGGGTATGCAATTTTGTATGAAAATAAAATATTTTGGTATTTCTTAATACAACCGCTTATGGGTGAGGGAGTAGTATAATTAATTACGAATAAATTATTTTATATATAAAAATCAATTGATGTCCGTTAGTCTCGCAAAAACTCGAAAATGTCTCGACTGAATTTTTTGTGTGTATTTGAGCGGGTCTCTGAATTTAAAAACTTAATTGGACTCGGTACGTGGCGCTGTTGCAGAAATCACTCTTGGGAAGCCGGGTGGATAAAATTATTAAAAGTTAGTTTATAAACATTATTGCAAATTATTAATTAAATCCTGTTATGTGTAAAACCGGGTTTATCAAAGCTCATTCTGATTAAAACCCAATGTAGACATTTTTGTGTGGGTTTTATATATAATTGTTATCATCATATATAGTGATGACAATGTAAGTAAAAATGTAATATTTTTATTAAATATAATTGAATAATTTTAAAATCTCTCGGGGAATTCTCTGTTTTTGTCTTTTTTCTGAAGCTGGTCTAGGAATAGCACTGCCTTGTCTTTTGTGTTTAGGTTTACAATTAAACTTGTGTGGTAATATATCTACTTTTAATAATAATAATAATAATAAGATAAGGATGATGGAATACGGAAGAACGTGCAAAGTGCCGCTGCCTGGAGGTCGCCGGGGCGCGTCTGGAGCTGGCGCTGGACGCGACAGCATGCGAACCGCCAGCCGAGCGAGAGGTGCTGCACGACCACCCATCAGCCTCTCGCACGAACCATCCTTAACCGTCACAGAGCAAAATCTGGCAGACCGAGTTCGGTATCTCTTGCGCTCAAATATGCGCCGAATCGAAGGGCTACAACGTGAGGCTCTTCCGTCATTGGATAAAAATGCCACGGCTGAGGATGCGGCGCCACAAATTGCAGAGCAACCCGCAAACGTGGATGCCGCCGTGAATACCCCAGTTGTGGTTGATTCAAACGATGATGGAACAGTCGCCCAGGAACTGGAATTAAAGCATATGAGGAGTACATTGGAAGAGTCGATTGTGGAAACGCGTAGTACGCCTCTCGAAAATCGACCGCGACTTCCCCGCATAGCCCTAAGCAAGCGGAATCGGGCTGTCGTGAGGGCTCTAAACCCAATGCTGGTCACCAGCATTGGGTTTAGAGCCCTCACGACTCCTCTATTTGGAAGCCAGCCGGGACCTTTGCGAGACGAACTCAATTCTTTTTGGCGCAGCACTGGCAGTATGCCGTATTATAGGCGCCAAACTTTCCACGGCTGGACGCGCTACTGGACAAAGTAGCGCTATCCCAGCCTGGAGAATAAGAATTGAAGAACGTATCGCAAAGGCTAGGGTCCTCATCGGCAGACTGATATGCTTCAGGTCAGGCAACAACAGGCCAAGGATTGTGCGCACCGTCAGGATGGCATTTGCTGGGACAAATGTTAGTTTGTCCCAGCCGGATATAATGCAAAAACTGACGGAGCGCATAGACCACCTGAAGCAGAGAATCGCTGCTTGGGGAAAGCAGATTCGGCGACATACCGAGAGGTCGACACGGTTTAACCGAGCTCAAAGGAAATCGCGCGGCCTGGTCAGAGCCCGTAAACCACAGCGGGGGCCCTTGGACGGAAGTTGTGGCGGGTCAGTGTGCGAGTATTACGCCCATGGACCCCGTCATCATAACGCCGGATGACGTAGCTGAGGCGGTCCGTAGAGCCCCGAACTGGAAAAGTCTGGGACTCGACGGGCTGCATCACTACTGGCTTAAGGGGTTCATGGTGTGTCACGCTGTGCTCGCCCGTCAGTTTCAAGAGGCTCTCAAACAGAAGTCGCTCAACCTCTTCACTACTGAGATCACTCATTTGGTTCCTAAAGACCAGGTTACCACAGACCCGAGCAAATACCGCCCCATCACGTGCCTACCCATCATATACAAGACACTAACATTCATTTTGAGCGCGAGAATTACTCGTCACCTGGACTCAAATCAGGTGATGTCGCGTGCTCAAAATGGATGTCGGGGCGGTGGTCATGGAACCAAGGGACCACTCTTCATTGACGCGATCATTGGCAAAGTGGTGAAACGCAACCATCGGAACTTCTCCGCCGCCTGGATAGATTACAGAAAGGCATTCGACTCGGTTCCCCATACATGGCTAAAGAGGGTTCTCTAGCTGTACAAGATTGGCTGTACAGTTAGAGACTTCCTCGAGCAGTGTATGGGGCAGTGGAGTACGATCACATAAGGATAAGAAGGGGTATATTCCAGGGCGACTGTCTGAGTCCAATCTAGTTCTGCCTCTCTTTGAACCCTCTCAGTACTTTACTAGAGGGCCCCGGGAGGTGATTTCAGATTCGGAAAGGAGGTACAAAAGTGACCCACCTTTTCTTTACGGATTACCTCAAATTATTCGCCTCCAGTCGCTCCTATCTTATGGAATTGCTAAACATCACTTGTGAATTTAGCAATTCTATTAGAATGGAGCTGGGGACGGATAAGTGTGCGGTCCTCCATGTTGAAAGGGGAAGGGTTGCTAACTCTGATGGGCATAGACTTATCTATGCCCGTCAACTTAAGGACCCTTTCCGAGGCTGAAATATACCGATACCTGGGTATGTCACAGAACATCGGTATCGATGAGGCTGGTATGAAACAGTCAGTTTGCGACGTGTTTTATGCACGCTTGACCAAAGTGCTTAACAGCCTTTTGTCCGGTGGGAATAAGACACACGCATATAAAGGATGGGTCATGCCTGTCCTCATGTATACCTTTGGCATGCTCAGGTGGAGTCAGACTGAACTTAACGCCCCGGATAGAAAAGTCCGCATTACTATGACGTCCCATAAGATGCATCATCCGAGATCGTCATTAATGAGGCTGTACTTGCCCCGAAAGCACGGTGGGCGTGGCTTCCTGAGCGCGCTCACCATGCATAATCGCGAAATGTGCAGCCTCAGTAATTACTTCCTGGCGAGATCGGATGATCCATTCTATAAGGACGTCATTTCTAGTGATAAAGGACTTACCCCTCTATCCTTAGCCAACGAGCAACGGCAGGACCCGGCAGTACAGAGCATTTCCGACCGGAAGACCGTATGGAAGGAGAAGGAGCGCCACGGGAGGTACTACAGGGCTGTACATTAGCCTTACGTAGACACAGCCGCCTCCCTCAACTGGCTACGCTTCGGTGACCTCTTCGGGGAAACCGAGGGTTTTGTCTGTGCAATACAGGATCAGGTTATTAAGACCAACAACTATCGGAGATACATCCTAAAGGATGGCACTGTCGACGTCTGTCGAGCTTGTCGCCATCGCGGTGAGTCACTTAGGCATGTCATCTCCGGTTGTTCGGCGCTTTCTAACTTGCACAGACACAACCTAGTAGCAAGAATTCTTCACCAGGAGCTCGCTCTGAAATACGGTCTCGTGGATCGGAAATAGCCGTATTACAAGTATCTGCCGGAAGGCGTGCTCGAAAATGATCGCGCCAGGCTCTATTGGGACCGGGTCATCATCACAGACAGGACTATTCTTGCGAATAAGCCTGACATTGTGCTGATGGACCGGGCACAGTCAAGGATATTTTTGGTCGACATTACCATTCCGTATGACGAGAACCTCGTGAAAGCCGAAACAGAAAGCAAACAAAATACCTGGACCTGGCTCACGAGGTGACCGACGTGGCTTGCGATAAGCCTGACATTGTCTGATGGACCGGGCACAGTCAAGGATATTTTTGGTCACATTACCATTCCGTATGACGAGAACCTCGTGAAAGCCGAAACAGATAAGCAAACAAAATACCTGGACCTGGCTCACGAGGTGACCGACATGTGGGGTGGACTACCGACCGAAATTATTCCTGTAGTCGTCTCTGCAAACGGGCTAATCCCAGTCAGCCATCTGAGGCGGCTGGGACTACGTGGCGGACTGCTCCAGGCTCAAATGCAGAAGGTGGTGCTCCTCGATACAGCCCGCATCGTCCGCCGGTTTCTTTCCTTTTCCCCCTAACCCTCGGCCGTTTGATCTCCCCTGCCGAAGGCTTCCATCTGGTTGGATCTTATTCATTTATGTATTTTTTGTATTTATATATTATTTTATTGATATTTATGTATATTTATCTTTTCATTTTAATTTATAATTATATATTTATAGAACCCAACCAGATGAGAAAATTATAGATACCCCAAAAAAAAATAATAATATAATTTATTTGGTTCCAAACATACATACAAATTAACGTAACATAATTATTTAAAGAAATGAACTAAAAAGGCTTCTACTCAGCAGAAATGTTATAGAAACCATATAGTGCTAACTACAACTACTGATTTTCAGTAAACGCCAGAGGCATAGGTGGAATAGAATAAACTTAACTGATTACACTAATCGCAGGTTCCAACACTTATGAAAATACATACTTTACTTATATATATATAAAAAACACGCATAACACGCGGTATATTATTCCAACACTTTGTGGCAGCATACCGAAAGCTACCACAAAACGCGGCCGTCCTGTGTCTTGGGTACAATAATCGAACAGTTTCCCGCGAGAGACGTTCCGAGAAACTGAGCCTTTCATATAAGTATTTCGGTTGTTGATTTTGTAATATTTTATAAAGTAAACAACTGTAATAAACCGACTACGAGATTTCATATAAATAAGTTTGCCCTGATTTAAAAACGGTGTCACATTGCCTCTAGGAGGAATTCGATAGCAGAACCTAGCGCATGCATTTTGTACTCGTTGTATAACAAGTATTGTTCTCGAAAGCAAACACTCTCCCATGACAATATCAACATAATTTAGCTTCGAGAGTATTAATGACTCGCAAAGTTGAACCCTTAATTCTTCACTTAAGTATTGCCGGATATTATATAATACTTTTAATCCATAAAAACAATTTTTTACTGTATGCATAACATGATTTTCAAACCTTAGTCTACTGTCCATAATTATACCCAAGTTACGAACTTGAGATACTTATTCAATATGGTCACCACCAATAATTTTGGGCTTATGAGCATTCATTCGTTCTATTAATTTCTTTGACCCCAAAATCATGAATTTGGTTTTATTTGGATTTAAGATGAGTTCATTATTACTCGCCCATTCAGTGATAATACTTAACTCCTGATTTAATTTGTTAACTGCCTCATTTGTATCACCCGGCCTAAATGATATATGCACTTGAAGGTCGTCTGCATATAAATGATACTGGCAATATTTAAAACAGCTTGTAATATCGGCACTGTAGAGAATAAACAGTAAAGGACCTAAAATTGACCCTTGAGGAACACCACGAGTAACAGGAGCCGCAGCAGAAAAAATGTTGGTACCAGTTTCCATTCGAAGCCTGACTCGTTGTGTGCGACCATTCAAATAACTTTCAAACCACTTTAATGCGTTACAATCAAAACCATACATCAACTTCGACAGAAGCAGAGTAATATTTATTATATCAAACGCACGCGAAAAGTCATACAAAGTCAAAATTGTAGCCTCTCCGTTATACTGCGCTGTCAGAATGTCATCGACAACACTCAACAGCGCTGTAACCGTGCTTAGTCCAGCCCTAAAACCTGATTGTACGAGAGGTAACATATTGTTCTGGTTTAGATATTCTATTAATTGTAAATAAATAGCCTTTTCAGCGATTTTAGATAAAAAAGGCAGTATACTTATAGGTCTTTAGTATACTTTTACTTTGATCAGCCTCTCATCGAAGTACAATAAATATAATTTTTTATGTTTTAAGCTAGAAAAAATTGTCAGTTAACAGAACGATTTCGATATCATTGTGATTACAGAATAATCACCAGGAGATGTTAAACTTAGCTTGCTACATTAACTTAGAAAAATTATTACGTAGAAATATTCAACTCAATAATTAAATCATCAAAAGTTAATTATTCAAACTTTTGATTTAACGCGATTTCTCTGTTAGCTTTAAAATTTCGAGCTACGAGTATATTAAAAACTAGCTGTGCCCGCGACTTCTTTCGCGTGGAATTAGTATTTTTGTTGTAATAATTAGAATATTCATTTATTTATCAATTAGAGTATTAGTTTCTCAGACAAAATAACGAACTTACAAATTGACGGGCCTTAAAAATAACTAATGGACCCGCAAATGAACCAAACAACAACTTGGGCAAACTATGCGTTTATAATTTTTCATCAGTGTTTAAATGAAATTAGTTTTTACGGATTTTATGGCGTATATTAACTTTTTACATTCCCGACGTTTCGAGCACTTTACAGCACCCATGGTTACGGGGAGACTGAGGTGT